ACTGGTACTGTAGGCTATGCTTTAGCAGCAGTTGACAGTAAATACTATGCGCTGGATGGTTTCAGCGCTTGCCAAAGACAGTTGGAGATTGACAGCTTGTGACTCTGAAAGTCTCTAGCTTCCTAAATGAACGTTTTCCTTCCGAAGTGTGCGCTCACACATACTATACCTTTTGAATCTGTGGAGCGGACAGAAAGTTGTCTTATACTGAGTTTTATTCTGAAAAGAGGTGTAGGTCTAAGGCTGGTATAAATGAATGCTTAAAATGTCGCTCATCTTTGCCATAATTCCCCAGAGCACGCCATGACAACGTTTTGATTGAAATATCATGCCGGTCACTATAATATAAATAGGAACATCTGATACCTAGTAGATAGTGCAGCTACCTGCCAGCCAAGGTAGTGCCCTTCTCACGTAAGAGACAGATGCCGGGGCAGAGGGATATCCACCTAGGCTTAGATCCATTCAGTTCGGGACCAGGGGTGCATCTCCTTTCGGTTAGACGGGACTGTTGCCTCTTTCCCAACTTTGAGAAAAAAACTTGTTCAAACTAAGGGCTTTTTTGCTATTCACTTGAGTCTTATGATCACCTTCGCTCATCCCCTCCTCAAACCCATGTCCAAAACTTTGTCCGCCTGGGACGCGTGAAAATAATGCTGCTGTGTCACCGCGGTCCGGAGAACACTGCAGCAGTGGCAGAGGTTACTTCCTCGTCATAGAGCAAACTAGCCCTACAATGGCCCTACATCTGCTACATTTGCCAGACTGACGTCTGCTGCCACGCCCTCAGTCGTCGCCGACACGCCGCGAGGAAGGGCCGCGCGCGTGCACCGTCTGATCGCGTGCATGGTAGCGTTTGGCGTGCGCGGCGTCACTCTCTGGGCGTGCGGCCAATACAGCACTTCCTAACAGAGAACATGCATTCTCTCCACCATGCCTTCTCTCCAATGCTAAATCCTCTCCTAGAGCCCAAGGCGTTGGACAGCTTGATTCAGCGGGACACGGTACGTCTCGACGCACCACGCTGTCTTGCGTCTTGCAGCTAGACACGTTACGTCTCGACGCACCACGCTGTCTTGCGTCTTGCAGCTAGACACGTTACGTCTCGACGCACCACGCTGTCTTGCGTCTTGCAGCTAGACACGTTACGTCTCGACGCACCACGCTGTCTTGCGTCTTGCAGCTAGACACGTTACGTCTCGACGCACCACGCTGTCTTGCGTCTTGCAGCTAGACACGTTACGTCTCGACGTACCACGCTGTCTTGCGTCTTGCAGCGGGACACGGTACGTCTCGACGCATCACGCTGTCTTGCGTCTTGCAGCTAGACACGTTACGTCTCGACACACCACGCTGTCTTGCGTCTTGCAGCTAGACACGTTACGTCTCGACGCACCACGCTGTCTGCGTCTTGCAGCTAGAACCACGTTACGGTCTCGACGCACCACGCTGTCTTGCGTCTTGCAGCTAGACACGGTACGTCTCGACGCACCACGCTGTCTTGCGTCTTGCAGCTAGACACGTTACGTCTCGACGCACCACGCTGTCTTGCGTCTTGCGGCGGGACACGTTACGTCTTGACGCACCACGCTGTCCTGCGTCTTGCAGCTAGACACGTTACGTCTCGACGCACCACGCTGTCTTGCGTCTTGCAGCGGGACACGGTACGTCTCGACGCACCACGCTGTCTTGCGTCTTGCAGCGGGACACGGTACGTCTCGACGCACCACGCTGTCTTGCGTCTTGCAGCTAGACACGTTACGTCTCGACGCACCACGCTCTCTTGCGTCTTGCAGCGGGACACGTTACGTCTTGACACACCACGCTGTTTTGCGTCTTGATAGGTCACTTGTTTCTTTAACAAATAAGGGACGTCATCATGAAGCACTGTGACAGCGCGCGCACGAGGCGTTATCTGCTCTCTCGGTTTTGTCCGTGCTGTCTGGCTGTACGCGTTGTTAGGAGGTGGTCTTGTTTGGCAGTTTGGTTTGCCGAGTGCTGCGTTTAATGGCGTGCAGGGTTGTAGGCAGTTGGTTTGCGTATGTTGGTGATCGGGATCAGACTACGGAGCCCATTGAAAGGAAGCATTATGTGGCGGTGACGATGAGCTTCGGCAGTCGTAGCCCGCCCGCAGCCTTCCTCTCTCAGTCGTGGGCAGTGTGTCACGCGGTGCTATTGATGGTTGTGGGCAGGACAGTCCGTTTCCATCCCACAATGCCAACAGAAGCTTACTTTAATCTTTTCCGGCATATATCTATGGCCAATAAAATATCTTGGGCCAAAAACCACAAGACACTCCAACTTTCAGAAACTACAACCAGTCCAGACAACCCCCCATGAGAGACTCCCATGCTGGCCACACGGACACCGTTAGCGCTGCCCCTGGTCCAGCAGCTCCAGCGCTGCCTCTGATCCATCAGTCCCCAGAGCTGCCTCTGGTCCGGCAGCCTCAGAGTTGCCCCCGGTCCAGCAGCCTCAGCGCTGCCCCTGGTCCGGCAGCCTCAGAACTGCCCCCGGTCCAGCAGCCTCAGCGCTGCCCCTGGTCCGGCAGCCTCAGAGCTGCCCCCGGTCCAGCAGTCCCCAGCGCTGCCCCTGGTCCAGCAACCCTTAGTGCTGCCCCTGGTCCAGTAGTCCCCAGCGCTGTCCCTGGTCCAGTAGTCCCCAGCGCTGCCCCTGGTCCAGGAGTCCTCAGAGACACGAAACGGCTGGATGAACCGGCAACGCCTGCCCCCAGCCTGAAGCCAGTCTGGTGCCAGCCTACGTAAGTTCCTGAAGACGCCCGCTAGCGGGTGTTGCATCGTGACAGGACCGGCTAAGCCCTCTGGGACACCGGATACCGGCGATGAGACGTCGCGCTTGGGCGTTCCTCAGGCTGAAGCCTCTGCGCATCGACGCCGCCGGTCTGTCTTCGCCTGTAGACAA